AAATGCCCCTGTGTGGCCCTGGACCAAATGACTGAGCAGTACAAGTGTGACAAGAACAGAGACTGGAAAACTGTCCTCATGACCAAAGGTGGACAATTTGGTGACACTTCCATGACAAAGTGATGCCTCGGCCCATCCTGGACACAGTATGATTGATCTGATAAGTCTATGAGAGCTGACTGTCTTAACTTGATACCCAAGAGTTTAGTCTTTGTCACCTACTCTTCTCATTGAAAAGAAGCTTAAAGGCTGAAATTATTCACATATGATGAAGTGCAACGAGAAAAGAAAAAAAAAAAAAAAGGGAGTGATTGGTCACTAAAGACAACATGGACTCTAATTCATACAAGACGTGATAAACAAATCAGCCTTGAGATGAGAGCAAATATGCTACTTTACTGACATGTAACCTTGTTCTTTCAAAATTATTTGAAACTCAAAAAGTACTACACAAAATCAAAAAATATAATAATGAAAATATATCTAAAAAGTCTATTAAGGTATTTTTATAATTTCATTGTATATTGTGTAATGAAAATAAAAGTTATTCTAAAATTCTTGAGCTTTAGGCTTTACTGTCAAGTGGAAATTGCTTTGTTCCAAAATATTTTAATCAAAAAGGAACTGTTCTTCTCAAATTCAAAGCAGCGTGCATCACAGTGTCTTAGCCATTTGTTTTCTCCAAAAGAAAATGTAAATACAATTGTAAAAGGTTAATAAATGCCCTTTGTGACAGACTAACCACCTAACTGAAACATTGCATTATATTGTACACAGATAGAAATAAACATTTACGTGCTAAAAGAACACAAAACTAATTTTTGAAGAAGTGTGTCCCAAAAGTCATACTAAAAAGGTGGAAAAAAGCTGTAATGTCAAAACAAGTATCAACTCAAATTTTAAAACAACACTTCTGCTGTTTAGAAAGATAAAAATTTCACTCTCATGCCTGAAAACTATCAGCCACATTGTCAACATATGAATAAAGTGTATGTGAAAGCCATTAGTGACCAGATAAAACATGGATAGTAAAAGAAAATGAAAATTTCAATTAAATGCTGCTTCATACCTCTGAGCACTCTTCCAAATCTCCAAAAACATCAGAGAAGTCAGTGGGGCTTTTCCTCAGTGTCTGATCTGCAGGCAGTGTGTTGTCATTGTAGGACGAGACAAACTTAAAGTCACTTGTCCTGGATCCAGTTGTCATGTATCCATCATAGTTGTAAGTGCTGCGTAAAGTTCCTGTGCCGTCAACATCTGCATAATTAGGAGGCAGATAACCACTGGGGATTGCAACTGCTCCATCAAACAACAGTCTGGGCTTCCTCCTGCGACAGAACCTCACACCCAGGACAATAATAATGAAGGTGAGGAAAAATGTGGACACTGACACCAGTGCAATGATCAGATAGGATGTCAGCTTTGAGTCCCTCTCATCATAAGAAATGTCCTTGAGTTCAGGCACTTCAGCCAAGTTATCAGAGATCAGTAAATACATGGAGCAGGTGGCAGAGAGAGGAGGCTGTCCGTTATCCTTCACTGCCACAATAAGGTTCTGTTTCATGCTGTCAGACTCAGAGATGTCCCGCTGGCTCCTGATCTCTCCACTGTGGAGACCAATAGTAAAAAGTCCAGGATCAGTGGATTTGACGATGTGATAGGACAGCCAGGCGTTCTGTCCAGAGTCTGCGTCCACTGCTATCACTTTGGACACCAGAGAGCCTGCATGTGCAGCTTTAGGGACCAGTTCAGTCATGAAGGAGTTCCCCTCCGGGGTGGGGTACAGTATTTGAGGAGAGTTGTCGTTCACATCAGATATAAACACAGTGACTGTCACGTTGCTGCTGCTGAGTGGAGGAGAGCCATTGTCTCTGGCCATCACATGGACTTTAAAACTCCTGAAGTGTTCATAATCAAAAGCCCTCACAGCATGGATCACCCCTGTGTCTCCATTAACAGAGACATAGGAGGACACTGGGGCCCCATTCACCTCACCAGGTAACAGAGAATAAACCACTGTCCCGTTTTGTCTCCAGTCTGGGTCTCGAGCAGCAACAGAACATAAAGTGGAGCCAGGTTTGTTGTTTTCAGTCACATGTGCGCTGTAGGACTGCTCCTCAAACACAGGAGGGTTGTCATTGATGTCAGCTACAGTTAAGTGGACAGTTTTAGAGGAGGACAGAGGGGGAGAGCCCTCGTCAGTGGCACTGATTGTAATGTTGTAATCAGACACTAGCTCACGGTCCAGCTGTTCTGTGGTCACTAGAGAATAATAGTTTTTAATGGAAGGTACTAACTTGAAAGGGACCCCAGTCTGAAGGGAGCAGTGGACCTGTCTGTTGTTCTCTGAGTCTCTGTCCTGTACATTGATGATGCCCACCTCTGTACCAGGAGACACATTCTCAGGGATCTGATTGGACAATGACTTCAGTTTAATGATAGGAGCATTGTCATTTACATCAGTGATATCGATTATTAAAGTTGCATAGGAGACCAGCCCTAAACCATCTTTGGCACTGATTTGCATTTCATAGGAAGATGTTTTTTCATAGTCAATATAATTTTTCACCGTGACGTGTCCAGATTTGGAATCAATGGAAAACGCATTACTGTCTTTATTTGACACATGATCAAACTGATAGGTAATTTCACTATTCAGACCCTCGTCTGCATCAGTAGCAGTGACTGTAATAACCAGTGTATCTGGAGGAGAGTTTTCTGGAAGACTCGCTTTATACACAGTCTGGCTAAACACTGGTGCATTATCATTAGCGTCAAGAACAGTGACATGGATGACTACTGTGCCTGATCTCTGAGGAGAGCCGCCATCAAACGCAGTCAACACAAGTGTGATCTCGTTATTTTCCTCTCTGTCTAATTCTTTCTCTAAAACTAACTCACAGTATTTTCGCCCCCCGGAGTTTGTTTTTACATTTAATTTAAAGTGGTCATTCTGCTGAAGGGTGTAGCCCTGTACGGCGTTTTCTCCTATGTCTTCATCGTGTGCTTCACCAACAGCAAATCGTGCGCCCTTATCAGCCGATTCTCGAATTTCAATATTAAGTGAGTCGTCGGTGAATTGTGGTGTGTTGTCGTTTATGTCCTGTACGCGGATATTAAAGCGATGCAGCTCCAAAGGGTTTTCCAGCACGAGCTCCTGTTTCAGAATACATGAAGTCTTCTTCGCACAAAGGCCCTCTCTGTCAATCCTCTCCTGAACAACCAGCTCTCCCGTGTTCAGGTTCACGCTGCAGTACTGGACTCCGTTTTCCTCGGAGTCCACGCGCGCCTGGCGAGCGTGAAACCTGCCCAAATCCAGTCCAATATCCTTCGCGATATTTCCGATCACGGATCCACGTTTCATCTCCTCTGGAATAGAATAACTGATGTCTCCTCTGACGGGGTAAAGGGAAAATATAATTAACCCCAAAGCAAACGATATGTTAAATCTTTTTTCAGCCATTATGCCTCCACCGGGGGAAAGTAAAAAAAAAAAAAAAAAAAGGTTACAAACTAAATATTAGCTAAAAAAGGAGTCATGCAGAAACCTCAACAATAACACCTCATCATCCGTAAAACCGAATTTTACGACAACTGACCAAGAAGGGAGGGGAAAAGACTCGTTCTGCGCGGTTCACTGGTAAATACTGACACCAAGAGTTTGTTTAAAGGAACAGCTACCCTATCCGGCATGTTAAAAATGTGTGTTTTTTATTTTTATTTGATTTACCATCAAAATCAGGAGAGTACATTAAAATGCTCTTCATAATTGAAATAGATAACTCTTATAAATAATGTAAAAATATATTCAAGCGGGTTTGAATTGTATTTGTTCTCATTTCTATCACTGTTTAGAATAGATCCCTGATGTTTTTTCTCATAATGACGTGATTCAAGTTTTTTAATTTTACTAAAAAACATTTCATTTCACCAACAAACTGTAAATAATTAAATGCTGGCCAACAATCAAGAATAAGATATATAGGGTAGTTTTTACCAGCAGTTTCAGTTGTTGTCTTGATAAAGGATAATATTCAAAAACATATAAAAAAAAAATAAATAAATAAAAAATCATAAAAACAAACAAACATTTTGAAATCACAATGACAACACAAGAGGAACAAGTCATAAAGGGAGACCATCTCACTTCTCAAAAGCTTTCAATCTCAGAGCAAAATGTCTAATAAATATATCATGTATAAAAAAGTTAATAAATTGCAGTGTGTGTTTTCAAAGCAATTTTGTAATGCGTAGCCAGGTGTAGCCATCAGAGTCCCCAAAGGTAATAGACTAAAACGTAACCATAAATCCACAGTCTATTTAAAACATCAAGAACATCACATCTTAGTTCACTGGCATAGAACCAAACCTTCTCCAAGTTATTACCCGGGGTTTCTTAGTGAGTCAGTATGTCTGGACAACTTAAATTATTATTATTATTATTATTATTATTATTATTATTATTATTATTAATAATAATAATAATAATAATACAAACTGTTTAAAACTTTCGATTTTTGAGTCTTTGAATGACTGAAATTTGTCTGACATAAATTATTTTGAAAGTATGACTTGTGTCAAAGAAATACACATATTAAGAAGGTAAACAAAGAATGAACCCAAAGTTCTGTCAACACTCTTCAGCACCATGGACAGAGAAAACTCTACAAGCTTTACCAAATTAAAACAGCAAAAGGACATATTTTCTCAACAATCAGTCTGAAAATAATGCCACAAATGTCACGAGACTAAATCACTGCAAGCTGCCCAAAACAATATAACTGTATATACTGGAAGTTAATGTCTAAAACAGCTGCAGAAAGACCCAGTATTGAACCTGATTGAACTTATTACCACACATGACTATAATGTGCACTTAACTGGGTAACCAGCTCTCTGCTGAAATACCTAGAATGAAAACACTAGTCTAAAAATGAGGATAATATATAAACTGAACACAAAGTTATTGGAAAGGCACAGTGTATTTGCTCCACTAGTCATTACAGTTTAACCTTAGAAATAAGACAAGATCATTTAAATATTCTTGATATATATGTGCATGATATGTAATTGCATTCTCTTGCATTGTTTAACTCCACAGGTCTGACTGAAGAAAATTATGACATTAAACCCACAAGACAGAACTGAAATTATTGACTTTGGAACAAAATATGTAAGAAATTTACCTGTGTTGAAAAGTAGTAAGCATAAACAAAGGCATTTCTGTGTGACTAATTTCAAGATGCCTACCTCAGGAGAGACATCACAATCTCCAAAAACATCAGAGAAGTCAGTGGGGCTTTTCCTCAGTGTCTGATCTGCAGGCAGTGTGTTGTCATTGTAGGACGAGACAAACTTAAAGTCACTTGTCCTGGATCCAGTTGTCATGTATCCATCATAGTTGTAAGTGCTGCGTAAAGTTCCTGTGCCGTCAACATCTGCATAATTAGGAGGCAGATAACCACTGGGGATTGCAACTGCTCCATCAAACAACAGTCTGGGCTTCCTCCTGCGACAGAACCTCACACCCAGGACAATAATAATGAAGGTGAGGAAAAATGTGGACACTGACACCAGTGCAATGATCAGATAGGATGTCAGTTTTGAGTCCCTCTCATCATAAGAAATGTCCTTGAGTTCAGGCACTTCAGCCAAGTTATCAGAGATCAGTAAATACATGGAGCAGGTGGCAGAGAGAGGAGGCTGTCCGTTATCCTTCACTGCCACAATAAGGTTCTGTTTCATGCTGTCAGACTCAGAGATGTCCCGCTGGCTCCTGATCTCTCCACTGTGGAGACCAATAGTAAAAAGTCCAGGATCAGTGGATTTGAGGATGTGATAGGACAGCCAGGCGTTCTGTCCAGAGTCTGCGTCCACTGCTATCACTTTGGACACCAGAGAGCCTGCATGTGCAGCTTTAGGGACCAGTTCAGTCATGAAGGAGTTCCCCTCCGGGGTGGGGTACAGTATTTGAGGAGAGTTGTCGTTCACATCAGATATAAACACAGTGACTGTCACGTTGCTGCTGAGTGGAGGAGAGCCATTGTCTCTGGCCATCACATGGACTTTAAAACTCCTGAAGTGTTCATAATCAAAAGCCCTCACAGCATGGATCACCCCTGTGTCTCCATTAACAGAGACATAGGAGGACACTGGGGCCCCATTCACCTCACCAGGTAACAGAGAATAAACCACTGTCCCGTTTTGTCTCCAGTCTGGGTCTCGAGCAGCAACAGAACATAAAGTGGAGCCAGGTTTGTTGTTTTCAGTCACATGTGCGCTGTAGGACTGCTCCTCAAACACAGGAGGGTTGTCATTGATGTCAGCTACAGTTAAGTGGACAGTTTTAGAGGAGGACAGAGGGGGAGAGCCCTCGTCAGTGGCACTGATTGTAATGTTGTAATCAGACACTAGCTCACGGTCCAGCTGTTCTGTGGTCACTAGAGAATAATAGTTTTTAATGGAAGGTACTAACTTGAAAGGGACCCCAGTCTGAAGGGAGCAGCGGACCTGTCTGTTGTTCTCTGAGTCTCTGTCCTGTACATTAATGATGCCCACCTCTGTACCAGGAGACACATTCTCAGGGATCTGATTGGACAGTGATTGCAGAAATATAACAGGAGCATTGTCATTTATGTCTACAATTTCAACAAATAAAGTTGCATAAGAAGCCAGTCCAAGTCCATCTTTTGCACTAATTTGAATTTCATATGATGATTCTTCTTCATAATCCAAAGACTGAGCAACTCTAACCTCCCCAGTGGAGGGGTTCAAAGTAAATACTTTATCATCATCCGAAGGATGATCAAATCCATACGTTATTTGACCGTTCATGCCCTCGTCGCATCAGTAGCAGTGACTGTAATAACCAGTGTATCTGGAGGAGAGTTTTCTGGAAGACTCGCTTTATACACAGTCTGACTAAACACTGGCGCATTATCATTAGCGTCAAGAACAGTGACATGGATGACTACTGTGCCTGATCTCTGAGGAGAGCCGCCATCAAACGCAGTCAACACAAGTGTGATCTCGTTATTTTCCTCTCTGTCTAACTCCTTGTCCAAAACTAATTCACTATACTTTCGGCCATTGCTCTTTGTTTTTACGTCCAATGCAAAGTGTTTGTTGTCTTGCAGGGTGTAACCCTGAACACTATTTTCCCCAATGTCTCCATCGTAAGCTTCATCTAATGGATATCGTGCTCCCTTATCAGTTGATTCACTGATCTCAAAATTAAGCGTGTCCTCTTTAAACTGTGGTGCGTTGTCGTTTATGTCCTGTACGCGGATATTAAAGCGATGCAGCTCCAAAGGGTTTTCCAGCACGAGCTCCTGTTTCAGAATACATGAAGTCTTCTTCGCACAAAGGCCCTCTCTGTCAATCCTCTCCTGAACAACCAGCTCTCCCGTGTTCAGGTTCACGCTGCAGTACTGGACTCTTTTGTCCTCGGAGTCCACGCGCGCCCTGCGAGCGGACAACCTGCCCAAATCCAGTCCAATATCCTTCGCGATATTTCCGATCACGGATCCACGTTTCATTTCCTCTGGAACAGAATAACTGATGTCTCCATGGCAAAGATGAAAAGTGAAAAATATCAACGCCAAATACACCAGAAAACTGTGCCTTTTGCTGGCCATTATTTATCCCTTGTTAACTGGGTTGATAATCTTTAGTGCGCGTTCATTTAAACCTAAAAACGGTGCATTGAAAGCTCACCGTTCTGTAAAAATATGCTGATTCTTTACACAACGTGATAAAGAAGGGAGGAGAATGAACACGCTGCACCGTTCACTGGTAAATACTGACACCAAGAGTGTGTTTGAGAAACGACAAGTCTGTATTTATGTTCTGCCAAGCAAAACATATTAAAACGACGTGAATCAATATCAGAGTGCAACAATGGGGAGAAGTCGAATCTAGGGTTTTAATAAAAGTCCATAAAATAGCAGTTTTAATGTTATTGCAGCATTGCAATGTTTTCATTCTTTCTTTCCGTTATTATTATTATTATTATTGTGTTATTTTGCTTATTGTTGTTAAGGCTGCACAACTGAGAGACTTAACAACGAAATATTGGTATTTTATACAAGACAACAACCAGCTTATACACCCATTCAATTAAGAATAAAGTTCCATGCGAGTTGAGAGCTGTTTTCACAATAAAAGAACGAATAAAAGAGAACAGAGTGATACATGTAAATCTAAATTAGTATTACATTTTAGAATACATATCAGCACCATCGACAGAGAAATAAAACATGGCAAACATACAGATGTTTACGAACAAAACATCAGATCACTTATATTTTATTCAAAGTTTAGAATCAAATCACATTTCTTTACCTTATGAAACATTCATATTTTAAGAAGTCACGCACTAGGAGTTAGCTATGGAAATTACCACTAGTGATTACATGCTCAGTCATACCTCAGGAGAGATGTTATAAAAGAAATGTCAGCTGAGCTTTTTCTCAGCATCTGCTCTGCTTTGACAGTTTTTGTTTTCATGATATAGGGTCATATTGGAAGAAAAGAGGATTGAAAATGAGTCTGCATATTTGGTAAATGAGGTCAAAATTATTTGTAGGAATTAAAAAAGAAGTATAAAATTAACCATTTTAAACTGTCAATTTAAAAAAAAAAGGATATAATGCATTTTATAGGAGTCAGAAATGCTGCTTTTATATTCAGAGTTAAAATGTGCTTGAAAAAAAAAAAAGTTAGATAAATGCAGATAGTATCATTATAAATAGATTTCATGAGTGCCCAGGGGGACACCTCATGATCCCCAAATGTTTGCTTATGTTGCATCCACACACAAGTGAAGGTATCTCCTAAATCACATCTTTATTTACAGTTAATTTTGTTAAAAATAAAACTCTCCAAAGAAATCAAACTATAAACAAACACATAAACCATCATTCCTCAAGACAACTCCTCAACCCTCAGAAAGGAAAACCACAACCATCACTAAGGACGTCTCTCATTCAGTATTCTTTCTATTCTTCAATTTGATAAACACTACAGACTACAGACTACACAGTACTACGACTATTTCTAAGACTTGTGTTAAAGCAATGAATCATTTCAGGAGGTGAAGACATAATGACCACAATCTTAAATCTACACTCTTCAGTACCATAGACAGAGCAAATGAGAATCCAAGAGAAAACCATGCTACAAGTGATGGAGATTTAAGCCATAATTTCCAAGGGAAATGCTATGTCTTGGAGTTTACACAAAAGATTCTATGGTTAAAATAAAGTAAAAAAAAAATATATAATATAATAAATATATATATATATATATATATATATATATATATATATATATATTATATATATAATATATATTATATAATATAATATATATTATAGTATGTATATATATCCAACACTGGGTCCTGATGTTGGTTGACTGCAACAACATTAAATACACAATTCAGAGCACATATTCCAAAACAGTGTAAAGTGCCAGTGTTGCTCCACAATGAGTTTATTACTGCAAGCACAAGTACAAGGCTTTAACTTACATTCAAGCTACCGTCACTTCTTAATAAAAAGCTTAGAGTTGCCTCTTCTGCAAGAATGTCTAACCACAATGTGTAGAATATATTGGATTCCTTCTAACAAGTCGTAACAATTAAAATTGTTGTAACAATTAACAGACATTAAGAAAGATAATAATACAAATCTTGATATAAAAATGATCGGTTGATGAATTCCGAAACATTGCCAAACCCTAAAGGTCTGTTTGGACAGAAAAAATATAAAATTGCAAATACAATACAGTATTGATATTGTTTACTCATGTATAAAATGTGACGATTAAAAGTAAGAATTACAGAAAAAATGCTTTTTTGCCTACCTCAGGAGAGACATCACAATCTCCAAAAACATCAGAGAAGTCAGTGGGGCTTTTCCTCAGTGTCTGATCTGCAGGCAGTGTGTTGTCATTGTAGGACGAGACAAACTTAAAGTCACTTGTCCTGGATCCAGTTGTCATGTATCCATCATAGTTGTAAGTGCTGCGTAAAGTTCCTGTGCCGTCAACATCTGCATAATTAGGAGGCAGATAACCACTGGGGATTGCAACTGCTCCATCAAACAACAGTCTGGGCTTCCTCCTGCGACAGAACCTCACACCCAGGAACAATAATAATGAAGGTGAGGAAAAATGTGGACACTGACACCAGTGCAATGATCAGATAGGATGTCAGCTTTGAGTCCCTCTCATCATAAGAAATGTCCTTGAGTTCAGGCACTTCAGCCAAGTTATCAGAGATCAGTAAATACATGGAGCAGGTGGCAGAGAGAGGAGGCTGTCCGTTATCCTTCACTGCCACAATAAGGTTCTGTTTCATGCTGTCAGACTCAGAGATGTCCCGCTGGCTCCTGATCTCTCCACTGTGGAGACCAATAGTAAAAAGTCCAGGATCAGTGGATTTGACGATGTGATAGGACAGCCAGGCGTTCTGTCCAGAGTCTGCGTCCACTGCTATCACTTTGGACACCAGAGAGCCTGCATGTGCAGCTTTAGGGACCAGTTCAGTCATGAAGGAGTTCCCCTCCGGGGTGGGGTACAGTATTTGAGGAGAGTTGTCGTTCGCATCAGATATAAACACAGTGACTGTCACGTTGCTGCTGAGTGGAGGAGAGCCATTGTCTCTGGCCATCACATGGACTTTTAAAACTCCTGAAGTGTTCATAATCAAAAGCCCTCACAGCATGGATCACCCCTGTGTCTCCATTAACAGAGACATAGGAGGACACTGGGGCCCCATTCACCTCACCAGGTAACAGAGAATAAACCACTGTCCCGTTTTGTCTCCAGTCTGGGTCTCGAGCGGCAACAGAACATAAAGTGGAGCCAGGTTTGTTGTTTTCAGTCACATGTGCGCTGTAGGACTGCTCCTCAAACACAGGAGGGTTGTCATTGATGTCAGCTACAGTTAAGTGGACAGTTTTAGAGGAGGACAGAGGGGGAGAGCCCTCGTCAGTGGCACTGATTGTAATGTTGTAATCAGACACTAGCTCACGGTCCAGCTGTTCTGTGGTCACTAGAGAATAATAGTTTTTAATGGAAGGTACTAACTTGAAAGGGACCCCAGTCTGAAGGGAGCAGCGGACCTGTCTGTTGTTCTCTGAGTCTCTGTCCTGTACATTAATGATGCCCACCTCTGTACCAGGAGGGGTATTTTCTGCTATTGTATCTGACAGGGATTTTAAACTCACAACAGGAGCATTGTCATTGACATCAGTGACAGAAATTTCCACCATGGCATAAGTTGACAATCCTAATCCATCTTTTGCTTTAACACGTATTTCAAAGGTGGCAGTGTTTTCATGATCAATGTTGCCAATAACTCTTATTTCTCCTGTTTTTGAATTTATACTAAAAGCCTTTTTCACATCTTCAGCAACGTGTCCAAAATCATAACTCACATCACCGTTGACGCCTTCATCTGCATCAGTCGCACTAACAGTAAGCACTACAGTATCTAGAGGGGAGTTTTCAGGCAGACTGGCTTTATACACGGCCTGGCTGAACACAGGCGCGTTATCATTAGCGTCCAGTACAGTGACGTGTATGGCTACGGTCCCTGATCTCTGTGGAGACCCGCCATCAAAAGCTGTCAAAATCAAATCAATTTCATGTTGTTTTTCACGATCTAATTCTTTATCAAGAACCAGCTCAATGATATTTCCAGTTACCACTAAAACAAAATTATCATTCTTGTTTAAACTGTATTGTTGGATTGAATTCTGCCCCACATCCGCATCGTGCGCCTCCTCTATCACAAAGCGAGCACCCCTGTCTGTAGTTTCCCTTAT